TTACGCGTGTCGAGGGGGGCCACCACAGTCACCAGAAGTTGCCACCGTATTTTACTGACATCAGAAAAACAGAGAAACTCGCCCCGAATTCAAGGTTCTTGGCCTGCGCTGGCGCGGCCCTGTGATTTAAAGGTCCTTCTTGTTGGCACCCGGACCCTCCGGTTGTTTTCGGCTCTTTTTTTACACCCCCTTCGACACAATAGTTGCTCTTAATGTAATGTGCATATTATTATAATCGTCTATTGTGTTTGGAGGTTATAATTGTGCTGTAACAGTATGAACATGTCTTCTTAAAAGGAGGGGGGGGGGGCTACACCCCCAAAGTCAAAATTCGGCTCAAAATTATGGAATTTGCGTTGTAGGCCTTCTTAGCTTCCTCAGCCTCTCTTACAACTAATTCACCACATAAGAACACCCAAAAACCCCATTTATTCCCATACCGGTCATGTTTGTCACCATCATTTCCTCATAAAGTCAATATTTCTAATTTTCTTTATCGGCGGTTTTCTCAAAACGCGACTTTTCTCTATACTTTTTTTAATAACTCCACCATTTTTCATCCAATCTTCATGAAATTTGTTAAATGGAGAGGGCTTACCAAATAATAGATCTATGTGTTCTTTGGATCTTAGTTGAGACTTTCGTTCACCTTACTTCATTTACAAATTAACCCTAAGGGTGAGCGCGCCTGCTGACTATCTGCTGCGTTATTGTTATGGGAGTGCTTATTTAGGCCACATATGGCCTAAATAAGGTAAGGGAGGGGGGTTTAGCTTATTTAGGCCATACATGCTCAAACTACCGGGGGACACCCTTTTCAGGCAACTGAGTTCGTTCCACTTTCATAATGGTGCACCTTTCTCATTTAGTACAGTTTTGTCTCAGTGTACAACTTATATATATCATAATGAATATTGTAAGAACAAAGCACGATACGCAAAATTTTGCTCAATCCTAATGGTTTGAATGAGGGCCAGATTTTTCCTTCATGAAGGGGCAAAATCTAGGCTACCATTTTGGCACACTTTGGTCAAGTGAAAAGGTCAATTCCTCCGAATGGACTTCCGGGTCAAATTTGGGGTATAAAAAGTGTGTACACAACGTGGCAGAGTCAAAGTTACACTATCTTTGCCTGAGTGGCACTCTCTCGTACTGTCTCGTAGTAGTACATGTAGATCTAGTAGTAGTAGTAGTAGCAAGGATCGTGTAGAGAATCTTTGGTAGTAGATTCTATCTAGTAGCAGTGGCGTTGGGTGGACCAAAATTTGGGTGGGGCTTAGGTTGCTTCCTATTCTTTACCACCAAATAGCAAGCAATAAGAATTAAACAGTGCTGATTTTTCTATACTCACGGTGAGCCACGGCAGTTTGAGAACCATTTAGACGTGAAGAGTTGCCTTTGTTTTCCATCTCTTTCTTCTTAGTTGAATTTTTGTTGATGGTGGGGACGAAGCCGATTCACCTCCGAATTTCCTTTAATTAGTTTTCGTGTGATGAAAAAGTTGCCTTACAAGTAGTTCGACCTGATATATAACTGTTAAATCTCAGTGGCACAAACAAACATGCACACACAGCACTTCAAACAAATTACTTCTATGAGCTGGATTAGGCCGTGTAGTCGAGAAAGTTGAACGCACCCAACAAAGAACCAATGAGTGCATAGGTATCTGTGTCAGTGGGGCAAAGTTTTATCGTAAACTTTCACCCTATTGCCAGGGCTAGGAGAGCGTGAGCCCTCGGTACAGTGTTATTTTTCCCAGTCTTCTACCTTTTTACAATAATAGTTTCATTAAGGACGGGCTGTGGGAGAAGGGCTCATCTTTGCTGAGCCCCAAAGACATTTGATTGGCTGCTGGGTTACTATAGTTGTAAGCGGTGGCAACAGTGATTGGATAAGCGAGCAAGCCGCCAAGTTGATCACTCTGTGTTCATTGCGTGCGGTCATAACGGTTTCATCTGCTTATTTCATTATGGTGAAACTTTCATTTACTTTGGGATAGAGTTGGGGATGATGGGTGGGGAGGGGGTAGGGGCTCAAGCCCGTGAGCCCTTCACTACTCACCGCCA